TTTTTTTTTTTTTTTTTTTTTTTTTTTTTTTTTTTCCAATTGAATGTTTCATTTCCGGAGAGGCCGGGGTCCTCACAATTCTACCCAGAGATAATGGGTCATTGCCTAGCTTCGGCTCATTCATGAAAGCGGGTCCAGTGTCCCTTCAACTATTCCTTTGCACAACCCTACCTGCTATCTCCTCATCAAGCAAGGGGTCAGCTATTCTCCTATAGACTCCAGAAATTGTTTCAAACTAGTTGATCCTAGAGAATCTCTCATGCATCAATTATGCTAAGTACTATGAGGAGGTTGCTAGTGCTATTAACTTCAGCGCTTTGCCCTGGCGAGCCAGGATGAGTGAATGACATCCCTTCCTCCCATCCCAGTCGTACTCAACCACCTTCTGCTCTTCGTCCAGTGTACATTCTCACACTCTATCAGCATACTCTTCGCAACTGCTAAAGCTTTTAGTGTTGGACACGAACCAGTTGAAACTAACTCCCTTTCGTACCTGGCCACACAGCTGTTCATCGCAAGGCTCCTACCCAAAGGCGGAAGCAGCAAAGCATTTCAAGCTAGTTGGTCGGCGGGATGGAATCTATCTGACACTGGTACAAGAGACTTGAAGGCATCCAACCCTAAAAGGGTATCGCTACTGGCGATCTCTTTTCAGTCAGTGTTTATCCGGTTGAAGACAAGCTGCTGTTCCTCAACCAGTGTACACACCCTCACACTATTTCAGCAAAACTCTTTCCAATTTGTTCAGGGCTCTCCAAGCTAGCATAGCATAAGTGCCTACCAAAGGAAAGGAGTGCCCAATCATTCCAGGCTACTCAGTAAGAAACCCTTGTTCTACTCTGTAGCCGCTGAAAAACTTCCAATCGTCGACAATGCATCTCCACAGTCTGTCTTTCCAGCATTATCCAGCTCAAGGGAGGGATCCAAGTCACCCCTTTGAATGGGCTGAAAGCAGTCCCAAAACTCATTCAAGAAACTTCACACCTCACGTAAAAAAGCCAAGCAGCACGCTAGCAGCATGCTCGTTTCATGAGCAAAATGCCAAAAGACATGCAACCACGTGGATTGTAAGTCACTTCTTCTCCATTCAGCAAAAAAAATCTCTCTCTCTCTCTCTCCCTCTCTCTCTCTCTCTCTCTCTCTCTCTCTCTCTGTGCTGCGGGCCTTTATCTGCCCTGGCCCACAGCCAGGGCCTATTTGGCTATTTGCCAGTTCGGCCTGTGGGACTAGGCCGTGGCCTGACCCCACAGGCCGTGTGGTTATTCAGTCCAGTCTAGTCCTGCCCGGTACCACTGTCGGTACCAGGCCAGTCCAGTCCTGTCCAGTCCAGTCAATCCGCTGGGGGTATACCCCAGCTGCAGTTTGTATTGTGACTCATTCTTCATTTGCACAGATTGGCGTACGTGCGTGTTGAGTCTGCGTCGGAGCTGCGCTGTCCCTTCCAGCTCCATCTCCATCTCCCCCATCCTCATCCCTTCGTCTTGATCCTGACGGACCACCATCCCGGCGGGTCCGTCACACTGGTATCAGAGCAGGCTTTCCTCCCTGCTCCTCTCCCCCACCCACCCCACGTATCAGTTGCCACGCGGCTTGAACAAAAAAAAAACAAACAAAAAAAAACAAAAAACAAAAAAAAAACGCTCGCTACTTTTCTTTGGCAATGACACCGGTGCACTCTTTCGATCGTAATTTCTGCACCATTGGTTCAAATTTCTTGATCTTTAGCTTGTTGGAAAGCTCTCGACGAGCCGCTTCCAACAAGGTATAGATCGTCAAATTTTGTGCAGTGGTTAAGGAGCTTCGAGCTTTCAAAGATCGCAATTTTTTAAAAAGCTCCAAAAAAACCACCCGCGCTCGTTTTTTCAACGAGCACTATTACTCTAGGCAGTGGCTGATGCTGCGCCTTATCTCGTTGGAAGCGGCTTTCAAAAAGCTTTCCAACAAGACCTTTTTTGCCAAATTTCACCCAGCGGGTGAAAAGTTATTGGCAAACGAGTTTTTGCCCTCTACATCTCCTTTCTTGATCCCTGACCATCTCCAAAAGTGCCAAGTGGCAGTTTGCTGAGGATTTTTTTGAAGACCCCCCTGGCTAGGGGACTGCACTACAGTGGAACTGGGTGGCTAATCAAGATCTCAGCCAACCCTAGATAATGTGCAGCAGCAGTTCATCACCACCTTGAAGACCCCTTCTCCCAAGGGGTGTGTGAAGGCCAAGATCTTGTGGATCTTGGTGAAGTTGTATGCTCTTGGTTACCCAAGAGCTGGGTATCACCTCTCTCATCCCTAATCCACTCTCCCACTCCCTTTTTCCT